GCATCATTAGCAGCACTCGTACCCCCCCTGCCCACCCCCCAAAAAGATGATGATAGTTGGGTCCCGAGAAACCTGCTGAGTAAGCAATGATATCGGTTGTACTATAAGTTGCCCTCATGCCATCGACATCCCAGATCCCCATCCAGCACTCTCAAGTGCCATATCGTTTTATTTCGCTTCGAGTGGGCTTGAAAGGTGATTAACGCGATCATAGAAATGATGTCGGAGGTGTACCGCACTGGGGGCTCATCTCTCCAACACCTGAAGTGGGACAGGGAAACGGGAAAATTATGGAGGCCTTTCACTGGGAGAAAATAGCTTCAAATATCGTCACCACCCATGACTTTTTTGTGATAGAAAATGGGTAGCAGAGATCTGTGTTATTTTGATGTTCTATAGAATTCATATATGAATAATATAAGTTAGCATACATTTATAAAAGTGGATTATTTCAATAACAAAATATATAAATTTTAGGTTTATAAACATGATGAAGTACAAATACTAAAACATTTCGTTTGTAATTTTGTTTATTTGTAATTGGGCTTATAAAAATCTTAAAATATTTGTAATTTAGGTATATTTTTCTCGGTGTGCAATAGATCGTTAGATGCTTTGATCATGACTCTTTCTTTCTTTCTTTCTGCGTTTGCGCACGCGCTAAATGTCAAAAAAGTGCCCATGAAGCTCGGAGGAACCAGCCGCCTGCTGTTCCCCCAGCCACGCCCCCTCCACCCCCCGCCCACAACACTGAAAGCGACACGCCCTCAGGCGGCCCGCCCACTTGGAACATGTCGAATCATTCATTCAACGAAACTAAACGAAACGAAACGAAAATGTGGGCTGCGAGGTGTTGAAAAGCGAAGAGCGAAAACCGAAGTACAAAACACAAAATGAAAAATCCAAAAGGCATTTTGTGTGCATTTGTAATTTTGTGGAGCTGCACAGCACCCAGTGCTGTCATTATTTTCTGTAACATTTAGCGAAATCATTAATAATTGTTGCCGCCGTTGCCGCCGTCGCAGCGACACAGATACGCACTTAAAAATTGTCAGACGACTGCGACTTTGTGGTGTTAACTTGATTAGCATTCGCATAAATTTCGCAGTTGCATCTTGCATCTCGGCCGAATTTGCATAGAATGCACATTTCGGGTTAACTAACATAAGCGTGTTTCTTCAATCTGGCCATAGAATTAGACGGAATTCGAGGTGGTGGCCCTGCCCCAATTTTCCCCTCTGAGATTTCAATTACCCACTCGCATTATGCAAACAAATAAATTCGAGCGATAAGGTTAAGCCGAAGAAATTATGGAAAATATTTCCCAGAAAATACCGCAGACAAAACAAATTGCCGTGTAATCTTTGGGTTTCTCTCCGTCTCTCGAAGCGGAGAAATATAAGATCTCCAGGTTGACAATAAATATAAATCGGAATCATTTGGGAACTTGTCCTTCTTTATCGGCAAGTGCCGCCAAGTGGAATCAATCAAGCGGAGAACCATTTCCTTGGAGACTTGTTCTGTTTCACTCGCCTTACTCGTTTTATTCGTTTTATTCGTTTTATTCCGATTCCGAAGCGTGACAATATTTTGGCCACAATTCAAACGAACTGATCTCGAGGGTCTTCGCTGGGTAATTAATCATGTCGAGAGTTGGCCGATAAGTTCTGCTCGCTCGAGTGCAGTGAATTTCCGGGGCAAGAATCCTCGAACAGGTAGTTATTTCAATGCGACTTCGACATCGATCTTTGTGTGAGGTCAGAGATGAAACAGTGGCACCAATAAATCCCAGAGATATCGCTGAAGGGAAAATCAATATTGCCTGCTTCCAATTTGAATATTTATGGTGAATTATTCAGATATCGGCATAAAAGCGCCAAATTACAGGTTTTCAGGGATGGAATTTGGTGAAAAATTAAGTTGCAATGAAATAAAAACAAGAATGAGTGATTTTAATCTTTAAGGAAAGTAAAGATTTCTAATGAATATCTCTTAAGGGAAGTAATTCACTAAATTGGAAGTTATAGATTTTTGATGAATATATTTAGGTGAAGTAAGTGCCTAAATGGTAGTTCATGATTTCTGATGATGAAGAACAAACACAATCGATGAGACGGAGTTAGTTATTTTATTATTTTAAGCCAAAATTTATAAAATTTTATTAAAAAAGCAAAAATTTATATTAATCAAACAAATTATTTTTATAAGTTCAAAAGACAATTGGCAATTGAACATAAAATTAAAATATAAATCTATTTTTAAGCATAACAAATATGTGGAATCGTATAAGAAGCTTATCAAGCTCTTATCACACAGAAATAAGTCAATCTATCATTTAAATAATTTAAATATGATGAACATCTCTAAAATAAGTATGTGCTTTAATTAAAGCTTAAAGATTTTCTTTGATTAAGAACAAACAAAATATCCTTAATGAGACTTGTCATTTAAATAAAATACAATATATTATGTGAGCAAAATTAATTCTCGAATTTTCTAATAAGTTTTTGTAATTTGATAGAATTTATAGAACTATGCTGTATCAATCATATCTTTAACCTAAAGAATGTAATCAATGTTCCATGAAATATATACAAATATTTTGTGTTCAGTTAAATTGATTTGTTTAATACTTGTCTAATACAAAATTGCACCATACAGTGTACATAATAAGGCTTGGTTTGACCTACTGATGTTCTGACGAAGCTTAGCTAGAGGTTATATATTACACATATTTCTAAAGTATCGTATGCTTAAGTCAATCAATTTTACCCGATTTGCATATTTTTAAATATTCTAAATAATTCTAAACACACCATAAATATTCAGAAACCCTGTAGCCATATTAATGATATTTATAGTATATCCCCAACCGCTGCGTTCTAGGCCAAAAGCTTTACAAATTGGCTGACATTTGTCAAGCGGCGAACGGAGTCAAGTACGGACTTGCGAATGTGTCTTTGTGTCTTTGGCATATCTCACGGATGCCAAACGTAAGACAGGCAGCTCGGGAGCAAACAAAAGCGCCAAGACAAACAGATCCGAATGTGTGTATCTGCAAGTGTATCTGAGCTTGTATCTGGAGACGTCTGCGGCGGCATTAATGGCAAATTTGCACGAAGTCAATAGCGAGAACGGGGGGAACAGTCAATTATCAATAGCTAGGAAGTTTTGACGATTGTATCTGCGAGTGTGCTAGTGTGCAGATACAATTGTATCTCATTGGTATGTTGATGTTTTTGTGTTTTTCCACCTGCGTGCGGTGTTGTTTTCTGTTTTCTTTACTTACTGCCACCGTGGGTACGCAAAAATATCTCGCTTTCTCTTTCCAGCCGAATCACTTGTCTCGCTCGCTCTTTGTATCTTGTATCTGGTATCTCTCGCTCTCTGTCGACCGCCGATTGGCTGCTTTTTGAGTCTGCGCCGCTTTCCAGAGAGGCCACACCTCTAAAACGAAAACCCCTCGAAAAACCACGTTTGCGTGATATTCCGTATACTTTGCCGTCTTCCATTTTTCCCCCGCGAAAACATAAACTTGTGGCTCCCTAATGGCCCAAAAAAAAGAAAAGAAGAAGGAAAAAAGGAAATAAAATTTAGGGGGATGAGTCAAAATGAAAATGGCTTTTATGTGTGGCGTGCGTTGGGGTAATTTTATGATTCAGGGAATTACTTTACACAGTCAGTTCTTCTACTTCTCCTTCGCTTCTTTTCATTCCACCTGGAATATGTAGATACAGATACCTTTTAATTGTCGCTTTATTGATTTCCCGCAAAAGAAAGCACATAAGCTGACTTAAATTATGCTTTAATTCTATTTAATTATGCTTTTTTTACCATCTAAAGCTACGTGGGGTCTATGCTAGATTCGCGTGTTAGTTGGGCAGCTTTTATTTTGGCTAAGAACTATCTAAAATGTGTCAAACTTAATGAACGGTGTAGTTAAACGGTTTTAATGGGGGAGGATTTTTTGGGGATTATGTTTACTATGTCCTGCGATTTATTGCTCTTTTAAAAGCCATGCATTTTTACTTTGGGTCGGGAGCATTGGAGGCTTTTAAGCTTATGTCTTTTGAATACGTAACTTGAAAGTCCTTTAACTGTATTTTATAGCAACAAAATTAAAAAGTTCTTCACTAAAAACAATTTTCTTTACTTTAACCTTTACAGGCCTTAAAATAATATCCCTTGCCAACTTTCAATTGTTACAAAAGAAGTAATATTATAACAACAAAATGAAAAAGTTCTTCATTCAAAAAAAATTACGTTTTAAATTATCCTGTACAAATTTTCTGTTCTTACAAAGACAACATAAATCGTTATTTAAGTATTTTTAATTTTTTAAATGTAATTTTTTTGTAATTTGTTTACTTTTGCTTCTAATCTATTACCCATAACCAAGAAAAGGAATCAGTAATTCCTCTATTTTTTTTAAAAAGGTAACAGTATAAAGTTTTATACTTTTCCTGAACTTATTTATTTTTTTACAAAAATTAGATTTTTATATAGTATCGTTATTTAAGTAAATTGTTATAACTAAGTTAAATTTGTTGTTTTACCCTTTCCTTTTACATTTTGTTTTAATTTGTTTTTAATTTGCTACCCATAACCACCTCCACTGCAGTTCAAATCTAAAATGGCGAATCCCAGTCGGCGGTTCATTCAATTAAAATCGATCGCAGCTCTTATACACCCCGTACACCTCCAATAAGATCAGCTGGCTGGTAGGCCAAGTATAAGAGCTCGTGATCACCTGGGTTTTAGTCAGAGAGAGAGGAAGAGATAGAGAGCTAACAAAAAGAGGGAGAGCGGAATCCAGGTGAGCAGAACACCTGGTGAGACCAGAGTGTATCTTTCGGATACGAAAAAGGTGAGTGTGAGAGCGGCGGCGGCGGCGGGCAGTGGAGGGTTAAGCGGTGGCGCGGCGGGGGTTAACCGGCAGCTAGCTGACTGGCTTTCCGACTTCTCGACTTTCGAGGCTCGTCTGCGAGAAGCACGCCAATCGTCCAATCAGTACGAACTCGGTTCCCGCCAGCGCAGTAACAACTTCGCCGACGAGCGCGTGAAATACACTTCATTTTCCCCTTTGAGCCAAGCAAAAAGTTAACAAAAATCACAAACCACAAGTGCCTTAACATATAATCTATAGAATATTACTGCCCATTAAGTATCCGCTTTCGACAGGAACAAAAAAAGATACAAAATACACAGAATACAAAATAAAAACCCAAGCTCAACGAATGCGGAAGTGAGCGAAAGCCGGCGGCTTTTTTTTAATAATTATTTGCAATTAACGCAAAGGATAAAATATATGAAGTATTGTGCAAACAACAAAGGGAAACAAAGGGAAAAGAGAAACGAGTGAGAGAAAGTGATCGAGTGCCTTCATTTGCATATCCTTGCAAATTGAAATCGAGAATTAATTGAATAACAAAAAAGTAATTGAATAATAAGAAAACGTGCCGCAATGTCTGTTGTTCGCAGTGCCATGTCAAGCAGAAGTATTCAATAATCATAATCCCGAAACCCGAAATCTGAAACAGAATTCGAAAATTGATTAATCATTTTGTGCCTTGAACTGATCGTGACTCGTGAGTCAGAGCAGCGCCATTTAATTGTCCGCAAATAAAAAAAAGTACGGGTACGAGCACAGTTGCAAATTGTCGGGTTAAATATTGGTAGAATATCGGTAGAATATCGGTGGAATCGGTGGCATCGGTTGCATACCCCTCCCCCGCCAGGCATTTACCCCTGGCCACCAAAACTCGAGTTGAGCTTCATGCGAAAAACGCCGCTTAAATGCATACGGATATCATAATTGGTGATCAATTTGCCGCCAACAATAACTACTGGGTGATGCAGGTATGTATCTAAGGAAAAATTGAATAAGCTAAGATGAAATTAAAAACCAGCAAGGAAATTAAAAAATATCTTTCAATAAAATGCTTATGAATTAAAAATTTTTAAGCCCTACCCCTTCAAAAAAAATATTTGACGAACTTATTTTATGTCCACCGTTAAACCTTAAAAAATTTTAAAACGTCTGTTTTAATACAGTAACAAAAATTTGCGAGATGAAATAAATAAAAAATCAATAGTTAGATACTTAACATTATACAGAAAAAAATTGTACCCATAATGAGTTTCATTAACATTGAAGAAGCACATAATAATAATTACTTCTTAAATATTTCATTAAATTTTTAAGCCAAAACAGGTCTATCAAGTTTAAAAAACATAGGTTTAAAAAATAAACAAATAGAGTGGACCCGATTAGCTGATGCGTTTAACAATATACTTTACAATATTAATCACACAAAAGGAATAAATAAATCACTGACTTTTAAAAATCCCCAAATGATAGCCAATTAAATTGTAATCACTTGTTCCTTGTCAAACCAAATTCAAACAAAATCATCGTAAACCATTATAAGCCATAATTATAACAAAATGTGCTAATTAAACCGCTTTTATTGCAAATTAATTTTAGCCAAATTTGACAAACAATAAGCCAGCTCTTAACAAGTAACAAAAACAAAAAAAAAGGGAAACAAATGAGATGAAAAACAACTTAAGCCCAACAACTTCCGCTTATCAAAATGCAAATCTTGAACAGACCAGATTTTTGAACGAGTATAAATAAAACGCACGCGGCACTCGCAAATTACAATTTGACAATAAATGCGAAAACAAATTAGCTCGATTATCGATTGAGATGAGGAGTTGAGCTGCGGAATTCGAGTGTGTGTGCTTTCGCAGAGATTAACACCTTGGATTTCCTCAGGTGTTCCTTGGATTCCCTTTTTTGTTTGCCAAATGCGACAATCGATTTGTAAATCTTGTTATCACCTGCAGGCACCGAGAGTTCCTCTTTAAGCCGTTTTCAAACACATAAACAGTCGAGAACACGGTCGGCCAGCTCTTTTGAACTTCACACTTATCCACACTTTTCACGCGTTCCTCGGGGAAACTGTTCCAAGTCGATCCTCTCCCATCCTCCTCCTTTCAATATCCATGTTTGCAGCCTGTTTTTCTTCGGTTTGTTTGCCTCAATTGTTTGACTCGCGCTTACTTGCGAAGCTCTGCGTAAATATTTGCCCACAACACTTTGCCAATGTGCCAAGTGTCCCCTCAAACTCAAAACCAGCTGACTGATGAGTGCGTTTCATCAGGGTTCCTATACAGGAATGTACATATATATATATACAGCTATAGTCGATCATCGCCTGTGTGGCATTGATGGATATTATTGGCTACTTTGGGGGTATAAATACAAAATGACAGCCTACGTATGAGTAATATTATGTTCTAGGGAATAACATTGTTTATCCTGTTTATTAATACCCCGCTGCATGTCAACAAGTGTTTTAGTGTAGTGGAACTGATCAAAGGAAAGGGAGTGTTCTTAGATAGTTTAACCTTGAAAGAGGGAGTTCCCAGGTACTGAGAATTTGTTAATAAGAAGGGGTAATGTATTTACGCCAGAATCAGTTAGTCAAATTAAAAGAATGGTAAATATTTTATTCAAATGCTTATAATATTTTTAATGAAAAGTTGTACTAAGGCTAATTGAATAAAAATTCCGTTTTTTATGTTTTGATTGGCTAATTAAATGAAAAAAATCCTTTACTTTATGTTCATGTACTATAATATCATTTATTTATATTTATTGCTTACAAAGTGGTCCTATTACTAATTTTGTAATTATTCTAGAGTGATCTACGTAAATTTTTCGTATCATTTTGTCACCTCAGCTTAATATTTACAACCAGAAGTCTACCAGTCTTACGCCCATTGATAACTTGATAAGTTCCCCCGTGAAGTCTAGCCTTACTCAACAAAACTTCGGGCTAAGTGCCCCTAGCTGGCACTCTTCAGAACACTTCCTTTTACCGGCAGATAAGAAACGAACTCAGGAACCTCAGGGAAATACATATATACGATACATAATACATATATGTGTGGTGAAGAAATTCGAGCCGAGACATTGGCGATTCCGGGGAAAAAGAGTCGTAAAAGAGCTGGGTGTTCGGACAAGTGTTCAAGTTGTTGCTTGTTCCGCCTGTCACCATCAATGGCTGCACTAATTAGGCATGTGTTGTCAAATATTTACAGACAGTCGCAAAAGTACAAAGCGTTGTTGGCACTCTCTATAGGCACCCTTTACCCCCCGAAAATCCCCCTCAGATAGTGACGAATTTTTAGATGAGGGGGCGGGCTTCTTCCGTTTTCCCCTGATTTAGCAGATATGACGAGATATGGCAAGGTATTTCCCACGATTCACAGCGATTATGACGAAAAACTTTCGTATTTTATGGCTCAGAACGAAATTAGTTTACAATCGCGCTTATAGGGAATTAGCGAGTATACCAGGGGTCTCGGAATCGGATACATTCAGTGAATAATGGAACTAATCAAGCACGTAGCCCCGACTTTTGCAGTTCTGATTAATGGCCCTGAACCATTGTGCTTCAATCGTAAATAATTAAATATAGATAAAAATCAGATAGGGGGAATTTAAGAGGGGGGACTACTGTCAGCAAGAGGCCAAGTTTTATGTAAATTAAATTAGCCTTGCAGTCTCTAGACTCTGGTGATTTGTCAATAAAATACTAAACATTTTCTAATGTACGAAATCAACGTTTATGGGTTTATGGCCTATCTGAACCAATAGAAAATATTTGCATTTGCGAATCGGAGAGTCAGACAAAAGCGGCCGCCTTCAAAGTGAATTGGCGGAATCGGTGCTGAAAATTTAACAAGAATTACAGCCCGCTGTCTGCTCATCTGAGCCATAAAAAATCGTGGCAAATTAGATAGGAAAAGGCCAAATAATGGCGCCGATAAGATAATGGATGTCCCTATATAGTAGACTTTCCATTTCGAAATGAGTTCAAGATTGGAGCGAACCCCCGAACAAAACACCGTTTGCCAATTACACACCGCCTAAACAATGGCAGTTAGATAATAACTGGAGTAAGCCATGAAAACAGTTGGCCAAAATCTCATTAAGGCCCAGTGGGAGATCGCCCATCGGTCGATGGATCGATCAATCGATCGATTCCTATGCAAATCCCGCCAGTAATTTCGGCTTCCTCCATCACAATGCCAAGTTTTTAGTTTCTAGTCTTTGCCTTATTTCGCTTTTGCCTTTAGCCAATTCATGCAAATGAAAACGAAAACTGGCACACAAAACTTGTGCCAAAAATGGCACAGAAAAAATATCATTTATTTGCAGGCAGTTTTGATTGATTCGCCGCCTCACCAAGTTGGAGGTCAATCGGGCCACGAGAATCAATCACTCACAATCCACTGAATGCACACAGAACTTTGCGGAATTGTTGTGGTCTTAAAGATAGTCACAGATTGGTAATACAATGATATTATTACTTGTTGTCCTTAAATAAATATTGCCATCAAAAAATAAGAGTTGGATGCTGTGCAATAAGATTACAATTTTTATACAAATTTATATTTAATTAAAATTAAAATATAATATTTTTCCTTTTGGATTCATTAAAAATAATTATAGTTTTGGCCTAAACAAAATAAAAGTTAGAAGAATACAGCAGTTCTGCTTATATTTTTTTATTTTATAATATTTGTATGTCTTGATTAAAAAGCCTTTTAAAAAATCATAAACAAACCCTCATTCTCGTTGAGAATCAATACTTAAAGATGCCATGTCTGAAACAGTAAAGCCGACTATCCATCAATCTTGGTTAGATATTTTTTAAAAGCTTTTCAATAGAATCCTGGCTAATGATTTATCCCAATTTAAACCTTTCTGCCCTCTTTTTTTCAAACCAATTTTATGGCACGTGAGTGAACATTTGTTGTCGAAAGCAAACCCTTTTGGCTGACTAATTTCAACATTTCATCGAGTCAGCAAAAAGTATCACCTCAAATTTTTGATAGATTGCCGGCCTAAAGCCAAAAGAAAAAAAACATGTTTGAGTTCGCCGAATTATTGCGGAAACTAGTTTGCCCAAAAAAAAACAAAAAAAAAGGCTTTTTATGCTCACAGAGGTGCTAAAACCCCCACAACATTGAAAGCGCAATTCGTTTCGAGTTTGATGGGATCAAAAGCTCAGCGGATGACAGCGAATGGAATGAAATAAATTTTATTTAAAGCTCTGCGTTGCCGCATTAAGATCAATTATTTGATTATGAAACAAAATCTGCGTGAAATCTTCAAATAGTTGACCCAAGCCGATGTCAAATGCCGTCGCTGTAAATTTCAATTTTAAGTCTCGAAATCGTCTCAACAACAAGGTGAGAAATGACAAAAAAAAAACACATTTGATCGAGGTGCCATGATTAAGCCATCATCGGATGGTCTCGATCTCCATGGGTCGTAAAGTCGCAACAAAGGTTCAACAACAAACCACACCGACTTGAAATCGAATTGCAAATTTAAATTGAAATCGAAATCGCATTTCGTAAGGTATACTTTATCTATTATATATTGTCCGTGGACCATTGGGAGATACCCGCAGCTGAACATGCGCCAAAAATCACTTCAATACACATTATTTGCTTACTTAACTTTTATCACCCGGCCGAGATTTCTCTGACCGATCGATAGATCGCTAATTGCCAGAGTACTGAAGGTACAAAATTGGCTAACTGAAAATTTAATTGAATAGTTAGAATAAATATCTGACTATTAAATTAAAATGTTATCATTGCATGATTTTATATTAAAACAATTCATATAATGTCAAAATCATTATCTTAAAATTAGTTTCTATTTGATTTAAATGCATTTTGTTTTATTAAAATATGGTTTACAATATTTTAAATTTTCAGATATTAAAATCAATTGCTAAAACAGTCAAATACAGGGTTTTAAAAATAAC